GATATTATTTGTGGATTTTAGGACGATTCTTTTACTGCATGGATAATTTTCACAAAATACGATTAGCTTTGCTGCATATCAAAAGTTTCAACTGGCTTGCTGTGATTTCGCGTTAGCCATTGTGAATTATTAGCGAGCTTGCCAAGGCGACAAATATTATGTGTGAAATCATCTCGAAATTTAGACATGCAACCATTAAAACGAGTATTAATCAAACGAAATCCGATGAATATTCTTTTTTAGTACAAATTTTAATTTTGAATGTTCTTCGAAAATAATTGAACTGAGCTCAAATAACATAAGCGATTGCATTTGTGACTGAAAATCCCAGTGTTATCATCTTATATTTTTTATAATAGAAGTATAATAGAGGTCATTTAAGCCAGTATGGCATATCCGCATGATTCATGAAGTACCTCTGTTGAATAAACGATCAAAGCATTAATAAACCAACTCAATTTAAAAAGAGCGACATAATAGCGACATTCGACAAAATAGCGACGAAAGATATGATCATATTAGTTGATTTTAATGCTTTCCAACTTCTTTCTTTTATCACTGTATGATATTCTGTAAAATTTTATAAGGTTAAATTTTATAAGGTGAACAACACACGCTGGTAGCAGAAACGAACGCATTAATAGCCTAAGGCAATGTTCAAATCATTCATAGAAAAAAGTTTATTCTTTAATTTAATAATTTAAATTTAATTTAACTATTAAATTATTATGCAACAGGGGAATTTTTCGCTAAGGAAAGGAAAAGAAAGCGATTTTATTCTTATCAATCATTATAAATTTTCTTGAGAAATGCAAAATCTTTTTATTCTTTTATTGATTTATGACCTTATTTTAAATTCCCCTTCTTTGTATATCTCGTTTGATCGAATAATTTTTTTATAAGAATTCAAAAAAAGCAAAGGCTTTACCAGTTGTTGTTTGTTTATTGAAAAAGATTATAGAGATGTAAAGAATTTGTGCAAAGAAATGTTGAATGCAACAGTGATGAAAGATACTTTTTTTGCAATTTTGTAATTTATACTTAATATATTTTAATTCTTCTTTGAAAATTGGCAACTGTATGACAGATTTGAATTTAGAAGGCTTAAAATAATTTTTTCACTACATACGGATGGTAATGGTCATCCTGAGCCTCGAGCCTACTATGTGTTTCATCAATTTTTTCCTCCCTTTTTTATATTATTTTATTATTATTTCCACAGCTAGGCGGCTGAATGAAAATTATTAAAATTATTTTCATTACAAATATATTTACAAATATATTTATTTATTAAAAATTCTCTTGCCATCTCTAATTCCTCTTTCAGCCTTTGGCATTTGCATTAGATATTTATTATCTAGATCGCTGAATGAAGCCATCAGAAATACGTTATTCATTAGCTTATTATCAATCCATTCGAAAGATATCATAAAGAATATCCATTTGCCTGCGTTTTTCAATATTTACTCGTGGTTTCAATGCCAACTCATCGGGAAGTCTGTTTGTTTTAATAAGTGATAAACTAGAAAATGAATTTACCATGTTTGCAGTGATATTTTTTATTGTACTCATCTGGAATTACTTATCCGTCGAATAAGTCTTTCAATTTGTTAGGTGCGAATTTCTCCATTTGATATTTCGTTCAAGATTTCTGTTTAATAAATGAAGGATTGTGTGAAATGTTCTATAAATTTTTTGACGTCTCATAATTCAGTAAAATAGTCTAAATTTAGTAAAATTCACCGTACAACCCGAATTCTTTTTTTTAAAATCGGATAGAATAACTTAGTGTGTTGCAATTTTATATCAAATATATGATTTGGTTTCAAATGATTGAAATTTTTTTGCAATATTCTTCGACAATAATTTGCTCTCCTTGAAGAGAGTTTTAAAAAATATATCAGTATAAGTGTGGCGTAATTTTTACAATTTTTTATGTATAAATAAACACCGATAATAATAGAAACATAATAATAATACCAAATGTTAATGCCTAAGGCAATGCTCAGATTCACTTCACAATTGATGATTGAATTTCATCGAAAAAAATGCTTATTTTTCATAGTAATAATTAGTAAATATTAATTAATGAAATTTTTAGAAATTTTTTTTAAAAGGAATATTTTTGTAATTTTTTGTATTATTCTTGCAATATTTGAAGGGCAACAATATCTTAAAATTTAAAAAATATTGGTTTGGTAGAAGTTTTTTTTCAAAAAGAAAAATTCTACAGAATTTTTATTAACTGCAATGAGTCAAATATAATAAATTGGCATATAAATTGTGACTGTTATATTTTACATTTCATGTCAATAATCTAAAAATAAAAAGAGTATTTATGAAACAATGCGCACTGATAACAACTGATAAAATTTCAATTCTTTATATTTTTGGATTTATGGAATGAAAAACTGTTACATTTTATATTTCATTTGCATTTCATGTAGATAATTTGAAAATAAGAAGAACGTTTATAAAACAATTCCCATTAAAGTGATAACAACTGATAAAATTCTAATTTTTAATTTTTTTGGTTTTCTTTTAATTTTTACTTTCAGAGTCTATGTGTAGTGCAGTAAAAATCGTAATGCTTATCCCTTTCAATTTATTCTTTTTATTTTTGGTTTTGTAAATGAAACGCATCGGTCGGCATTTGTATAGATTCATAGTGGTGAAAGATAGGAGAAAAGATAATTTTTAATTTTAGTTTACTCGGTGAACCACTTTTGCCCTTTGTTTTTCTATGAATTCCCTTATAAATAATTGAAAAATCTTTTGAATAACCGACCGAGCAAATATGAGAAATGCAAAGCAAACGAATAATATTATATAGTTGTGTTCAATGGGTTCGAGCAATTTTATATCGCTAAGTAAGTAATATAAATAAAGAGATCTCAAAATAAGAAATATTCAATTTTTTTTTTTTCAAATTTTTAATCCATTTCTTCTCAAAATTTAATTAATAGATAGTAAAAATGAAAATAAATTTATTATTCTATATTCGGATTGATAAAAAAGAACAAAATTTCGAATAAATAGAAATTGTAGAAATTTGAATTATTCCATTTAATATTTTATAAACCAAATATTTCTTAAATTTTTGATTTAATTTTATGTAAAATACAAATTAAAAAATTTAATCAATCGTATATTATATATTATTTATAAAATATATCTTCTACTCGAATATAATGCAATAAAAAGAAACGAAAGCAGAAATCTAAATGAGGACTAAGCCGTATATTGCTTCTGTTGAAAATTATATGTTCGTTTCGTCTCAAAATGGGAAAAATTATAGTAGAAGATTAAATTCTGCTTAAATTCTGCTTAAACTGAAAGGGAATCTCCTCTAAATCTCCTGAATCGACATTTTTATCTCCTTTATCTAATAGTATTTGTCCTAATCCTCCAATAGTCAATGGGGCAGCCGAATCGGAAAAGTAGCGATGCGAGCTTATATTTCGCACTATTTAAAAAGCGATGAATATGGAATATTTTATCGTATAAATGAGCAAATATACCAATGAGCAGATGAATAAATTTTATAATCTGAAAAATTCACAGTTTTCTCTTTTCAAATTGACCTTCCTTTTGTATTGTCAGAAATTCGCGATTCCTGATGTGCTACTGCATAAAAGGTTGTCTTGTTAGCAATCCGTATCAGTTGACGGTGAAAATGTGGAAAGCTCGGATTTTCTTCATACTTCTCATCTTTTTTTTTCTACCTTCTGTTAATGCAGGATACAATGCTATCGACGACTGTATTAAGACGAACACACAAAATAAAAAAAAACCTTCAATTCCGCCGAGTTCCTGCCACGACAGTGAAGCAGGTTTATGTGCCGCACTATTCCAACTGGATGCACAAACAATTGGAACTAACTTAATGGAGTAAGAGATTAAAAGAAATCGTTAAAAAATTCTTTTAATTTTTCTTTTTCGATCAATTTTAATTCTCTATTTTGTCGTTTGTGCCATGACTTTTTCGAAAGACAGTTTCTGACTGGGCTTCATCCACTTGCATCTATCTTTAGGTGAATAAACTCTTTACGAGGGAGTCGCTTGGCGGTAGACGCAAAGGAAGACGCCAGGATCTTAAGAAACGAATCTTACTCCGCCTGGGATCCTCTTGAGAATGTCGGCTTCGAAATAATCCATTGGATTGTTTATTCTCTTTTTGCTAAATTAAATAGATGCTTTGAGTGGTTGAGTTTCATTAATATAGAGATTGATTTCACAATTTTAAATGAAAGTTCTGATTATCCTGCCAAGAGTCAAAGGTCCTAGATGAGCTATTTGGGAAGAAAATATTCTTTTCAACCGACTACTGTAGATTTTTTATGAAAAATAATGACGAGTTATTGAAAAAATATCCTTAAAAAACCTCTTTTTCTCCTTGTTTTCTGACTTTCAGCGGATACTTTTTAATATCGGAGTTTTATATTCCCCATCTGTTAACTTGGGTGCTCCTAAGCAATTGAAAAAATCTTGCAATTGGTTAAAGATATTCCATGTATTTTTTTAAAGAACCCTTACCATTACTGGTTAGACTCGCTTCAGTGGCTTGTCGCACTGGATAAATACATCAGGGAGTCCCTTGGCAAGGAGGTCTTGAATCGCAGATGAGTCACCAGCATCACCCTGATTTTTGGACAGATTTATTCCTGCGATGAGCAGAATTCCAGCATCGGCACTCGGAATTGGCCAATAACCCACTGAGCCATTTTACTTTTACAATATGGTATGTGATAATTTAGAAAAAAACTAGTACATAACTTCACTGATCGCTAATCGAGCCCTCAAATTCCATGACCTCAAAATTTCATCGATTTAAAATCCTTGATCAAAGAAAATGACTAACGTTAGGATCGCAGATAGGGAAGCCGAGGGGGATTTCACCGTTAGAAAGAGGAAAAAAGCACATGTGGATTTTCCTCTGTAAATAAAGTATACAGGTATTGAGGTATATACGTATGAAATTAGCTGCAAATTCATTGACTGCGATATAAGGAAGAATATAAAACAAGGTCAAAGTGGCTCAATAATGATAGAAATGAACAAATAGGTTTAGGAAGAAATTGGATTTCCATAGCTGCACTATTACCATTCTTAAATTTCATATAATGCCTTAATCTTTCTGAAATTAATAGGAAATTGGAACTAATTGAGAACAAAGAACTAGCAAAGGCTGTAACGATGGAAACTGCAATTACCAAATTGAATAACTGAATGTTAAAAAATAGGCGAAATATAGAATAACAAAGATGTATAATGCAATTTGTTACAAAATACAAAATTATACAAAAGCATTTATAAATTATCAATAATTTATAAATCTGCGATAAAAACATATATTCATTAATTTAGTAACGAAGATTACAAAATACACGATGATTGCAAAAAAGCAGCGCTTAAACCATTGGCGATTTCAAGATGTCCATCGACTTGTGCGATGTGTTGTTTGACGAAGCAATTCGCGTGCAACGACAGTTTGTTAAAAAAATTAAACTTTTTTCACCATATATTTACTATTTATTTCAATAATTCTGCCTCTGGAATTCTTTTTTTGCTTTTATCATTTTTATCATTTCCAATTTTTTCACAATCAATGATATGAAAAAATAAAAACTTTGAAAAATTTCATTTACACAATGGTTTCCAGCAAATGAAGAGGCCTGCAAAATTTTTACACCAGTATTATGCAATGGAGAACTGCAAGCAATTGCACTTCGCAGTTGTCCAAGAACATGCGGATTTTGTGATCGACCAGGCGCACTGGGAAGATGTCCAGATCTCGTCGATGTTTGTCGTATTTTAATATTAACAAGGAATTGTTCCGATCCGCTAATGCAACAAAACTGCCAGGGCACATGCAATTTGACAAATTGTATTGCTGAAGGTTATTTAAAATTTTCATTTTAGGTTCTCTGCGAATTTTCGCTAAATAAATGATTTAATAAATAATACGAAACAACAATTTTAAATAATTACACCTAATATTATTAGCGAATGCAACCACTTCCTCACCAAGAAGGTGTGTGGACAGACCGAACTGTGCGCAATATGCTCAATTATGTGACACTTCGCCGTACTCGACAGCTCTGAAACAGCAGTGTCCAAATATTTGCCGTGGGACATGTTAAATATTTTTCCAACAATTTTGGAAAACTTTACATTTTGTTTTGTAGAAGTGGTCTCAAGATTATCAATACAAAAATTAGAAATTGTTGCATTATTTCTTTTTTTAAGCAGCACTCGTCATCTCTGCCTTCTCTTTGCTGGTTGCTTAGACAAGACAACTTTGGCAGATGGTCAAACGGGAATACCAGTTCATGAGGCTCCTAGGATTTTATCTCTTGCCATTCAAAAGAAGGAATTGAACTGATAAGGGGTTGACCTTAGTTCTTTAGCTTGAGGTAGCATCTCTCTATGTTCTTATCACCGCTCGCCGTGATAAGTGCCAAAAATTTAACGATTGCCATTTCGGACCATTTTTACTTTATTTAGCATCTTTAACCGTTTAAAAAGATGCGATCTTCTTCTTCATATTGCTTATTTTTCAATTCAATCATTGTTTCAATCATTATTCGTATTTTTAAATTAACGTAAAGTGCAGTTATTCATAATATTTATTGCATTAAATGTTTCATCGTTTAATCAATGAGTTTTTTTTTTAAAACTTAGAATTTTTAAATAAAAAATATACTTTTGGCGTTTGCAAAAACTGAAATTAAAAGCTCACATAAAATGCTATTTCAAACACAAATCATAGTTTTGAAGCGAATTCATATGCTTCGAGCAAATTTAAATTAAAATTTAAATCAAATTAAGACGAAATTAACGGTTTGGACGAGCAAAGGGGAATTTGCAAGGAACTCGTGGCTCAAGTTAAAAAGAACAAATAGAAATTTACATACTCGTCGGAGAAGCTTTCACTTCCGCTGTTTCTAAAAATTTAAATGAAAAGCGACCTATTCTCTAATAATTTTCTGTATAGCCGAGATGAAAGAATTTGATGGAGTTTGAATAGAATTTCAATTCAATTTGAAAAGATCAGAGTGAAATTTAAAAGCAGAAACAATAGTAAGAATTCTCGTAGAATATAACAAAACAGCGGAATCTGTCTGAGCAATTCTATCTATGGCATCGGACCGGGAAGCTTGGAGATGTTTTACTCTTGTAGTCAGCGGAGCCAGCCTAACCAGCAATGGGGAGAGCTGTTAGGAGAAGAAGAAGAAGAAGACTGAGCAATAAAAGAATGTTTAAAAGAATGTTAAGACAATACTAAGAAAATTAAAGAAAGTATAGTTATAAGAAATTGAGGGAGATTGTTTAGAACGAAGATTTGATACGGAGCAATAAAAGCAAATCTATGCACATCTGAGTCTGTGGAGGTTAAATTGGTAAAATGGATCATAAAATAAGATTATTTTTTGGAACAAAAAAGCAGAAGATTCTCTTGCTATGACTGATTTGCTCCGATTAAGCGTCCAATATTGCCTAATTTTAATAAAAGCATTAATTAAAAGCCATTTTACCAAACTAGCCGTATGGAAATGGGAATAATAATTTATATTTTTTTTTTTTAAATTTTCGGGAGCATTAAAAATCAGATCAGCTGAAAAAAACTTTAGAGAAAAACCTTAGAAATATTATTGTAGTTTAATCTTTTCAATTCATTGTTTTTATTTTTGATTCAATATTTTTTTTTTGAAATGAATCGAAATGGTAGGTATTTGTATGGAATTAGAAGAGTCGTTTGTATGTCGACCACATTTCTAGGAAAGCACTTTGATATTTTCGTTTTTCTGCAAATTCATTGGTGATAATGAAAAAATCTTTTGGATAACTGAGTAAATTGAATAAATACAATGAAAATGAATAGTTTAGCATAAATGATAAATCATTTTTTAAGATTTCGCCATCTCCAACACGAGTTGTTCATTTGCGAGAATCAGTAAATTATCAACGAATCTTAGTAGTCGATCCGCAGTTTCCTGCAACTTATTTCTTTCAAGAAATCGCAGATTTCGGCCTTAAATTTATTTGGTATCCATTTTTCTCCACAGTCTCATTAGTTGTAAAAAATATTGTTGGTATCAAAGACCATAAAAAATATTTATCAATTTGTGCTTTATTTATGATTTTCAAAAGATTCAAACTTACAAATAATTACAGAGGTATGAATTGCTTCTTTTTATTCTATGAAACAAATATTTCTTAATTGGCAATCTTTTGTTCGAGTATAACGAAAGAAAAATAACGTAGATACCCAAAAATCCGAGGAGGTAGTGCTAATCTTATGTTAATACACTTGAAGATCGATCTTATACCTTGTCTAAAGGCCGCAGAAAACTGATAAAGTTCCCACTTTTAATGACAGGTCAAACGGTAAAGATTGTAAAAATCCCGTGGTGCTTAATTGTAATCGGAACACTGTGCCATTTTGCTATGATAGCCCTATGGAAATTGAAACGATAGATTAGGTTATAAAATATTCCGGCAAATTTTCGAAACTTTTTATATATTATAACGCCATTAAAAATATTAAAATATCAGAACAAAGCGAAGGGAACTTTAGGAAACTTTTGCTTTGCACTATATGTGTAGTTCTTGCAGTTCTTTCTTTTCAATTAATTAATTAAATTTTCGATTTGCTCAATTTTTGGATTGAAAAGCAATGATCGGTATTTGTATAGAGAAGAGAGATAAAATAATCGCTTGAATATCAAAAGATATTTCCATTTTTTTTTGCTGCTAAAATACTTCTTTAATTTTTTGTTTTCCATCAAACAATTTGTAAGTGAATGAAAAACTTCAATAAGCGAGCAAATATAGTAGAAAGCATATTTATCAGCGTTGAATTATCAATAGCTGATTTTGCCAGTTCATATT